CGGAAATTATAACTACGCTGGCTGTTGGAATGAATAAGTCGAGTCTTCGAAGTGATTGGGCGTACAACATGAGAAATCGATGATCGGAATGAGCCCATCGAACGTTTTGGATCTGATCCTGATCGAGATCGTCCGCTATTTGACCATTGAGTCTTGGATTCTATCGAGCCATTTCTTCCATATTCGGATCCGTCGTTGAGGCTCTGGGTTTGTGTCCTCTTCTGCATTTCCGAAGAGATGTGTGCTTCTGATTCGGTAACATATGGCTGAATCTGTTGATGAAAGTCTTTCCTTTGAATTACAACTAAACAAATGAGAAATACGGCTTGCGAAGCCAACGATATTGCCCAGATAACAAGACCACCCATCGTCATCGATTGCGCTGGGGATGAAATAATTATCTCAGGAAGTAGAGACAAATCTTGTCTCATTAAGCACAATGATAGTGCTGTAGCGATTGCTGATAACCCGGTGAATATGGAGGTGAGTCCGGCAAAAAGATATATTCTCAGTCGTCCATTTCCACGATCTTGAATGTGGTTTTGATACTTGATTTGTCTTATTACCAGTAGCACAAGTAATGCTTCTGTGACAACTCCAAGACCTGTCGCGACGTAGGATGATACACTTGCTTTGTTCGACGTGCTGTTTCTCGAGATGGTGGCTGAGAAGATGATATTAAATATAAGCATGACAGTCTCACTTGCCAATGCTATAAAGCCTAAACTCAACGGTAATGCTTTCGAGGTCGACATGATGTCTGTTACTGAATGAGTGAAGCCGTGGCGTTACTGAAATGATAGCATACGTAGTATGACTGATCTCAAGTGCGGCAACGAAGAGTATAAAACCGTCGGAAAGATGGCGATGGAAAGCGATGTTCGGAAGGCAATGTCGAAATTAATGATATAAACGGATGTCAAGACGCACAACTTTTACAGATATGACTACTTCTCAGTACAGAATGACTGACGAGATAATTGAACGATGAATCGGATTTAGAAATCAGGAGGCTTCCTTCTGTTTCTTCTCCTTCACGTACGATTCATCCAGTCTTTGGCCAAGGTTGTACGTACGGGGTAATACCCAAAAGGAGTGTATGGGATTATATGTTGTGTATCCAGACCTTGTCTCAGACTGATGGTTCCGAGGCTACACAAAATGTGACTTTAGTTGCAAGCTTTCGCTTCCTCGTTTCCTCGCACCCAGTCCCTTTTCTTCGCCGATGATCTGATATGATGGATGGAAAAGATTATCTAGAAAGAAGATAATGTACCGAAAATTCCACGCAGTACGCAGGGCGGGATGGTTGTGTAGGTTCTTGAGTTACTTCAAAAGAATGTCGGGAAAGGTTGTGGAAGGATGTTGTGTACGATGTAATGTACGTATCGATGTCTGATCTGTTTGCTAGGAACGACGCTTGGTAAATAATTGATCCCAGATGGATAAATCGTATGTATGTATGTATGTATGTGGGAATTATTGCAGTGCAGTAGGTAGGCTTGGAAGAATCCGTAAGCATGGATTGGGTGAGCTTCGGCAACGTGCAGGATGATGATATGATATGCAGGTGGGTAGGCAGACCGGTAGGTACAGCAAATCAATGTCGTAACTCTTTCTTTTACTTCTTCTTCTTCTTCTTCTTCTTCTTCGTAGAATTTAATCTTGGATCTTTTTCGTCTTTTGATGGAAAGTTAAAACGTGGGATCTATTTTGGAGAATGGAAAACGGAAAAAAAGCGTGCGTATGTGCGTGTGTGGTTGTACAAGTAAACAGGGTGTTAATTTTTTCGTCGTCTCCGAAAGTCGTCTCGTGGTCGTTGTTAGGGAAAGCAAAGGGAAGGAATTCGCATGAGATGGAGCTTCGGATTTGCGTGGATGACGGGGTGGCAGAGAGTAATATGGGTGGATGTTATGAGCGAGTGGAGTTATATCTTCAACAGAATTAATGACCAGGCTGACGGGAATTTTTGTTGATTATGAGGGTTTTCTTGCGAAAATTAAAATATAATAATACTCTTGTGGATTTTCCAATACCGAGCCCAGTCCCAAGAAACCTTGCGAAAGGTTACTGGGATTATGCCTAGTCAAGTTTTGTTTTGTTTTTTGGTTTAGGGAGGGCCTGGCTTGGTATTTTATGGTTTGGTTTTTTATGTTATGTTATGTTATGTTATGTTAGCCTCTGTATGGACGATGGAGTTGCTTTCTTTTTTTAATAAAAAAAAGGCACGATTATTAGGAGAGTTTTTTTTTGGTGTTTTAGATGGGGCCGTTGAGATGGAATGGAGGGATGCGAGTTTCGTCTCGGGTTTGTTTCGTTCGTAGGGCGAGGCGGGGCGAGTGAGTGAGTGGAGGTTTTTCTTTTTTGGTGGGTGGATTCTTCCGATCAATCTTCTTCTTCTTTTTCTTCTGCCTATGCTTATACTCCTGTATGCTTCGTTTACTCCTGGAGGCTGGAGGTTGGAGACGTTGTTTTTGGATCTGTGCCTGTGCCTGTGCCTGGAACTGAAACTGGAACTGGAACCGGAGTGTTGGAGAGTTTGGCGAGATGGGGACGGGGTTCTAGATGAAAGGGTGGAGGGTTGGTTTGATGATTTGATTTGATTTGATGGAAGAAAATATTATTCAAATATTTAATATAATAAAATGATTTTTATCTTCAGAATGAATGGATGGATGGATGGATAGAACAATAGAACAATGGAGCGGTGACGTCTTTCTTCGAATTTCCTGGGGATCGCTTTGCAAAGGGAAGGATGGTGGGAGTAAATAAATGAATAAATGAATAAATGAATAAATGAATGTGTGTAATGGCAGTATACGATAGCAAATGACTGACGGAACGAATAAATGAATGTCGTTCTCCACAATATTCTTGAGTGTTTTTGTTTTGAGTTTGTGGTAGTGCCGTTGCTATGTATATGTGGTGTAAATATATCCGGGAGCTATACGGAGATTGTAATTGAAGATTGGAAATCGAAATCGAGGTACTCGACGGGGAGATGCGAGGGAGGAGGAATTCTCGAAGAGCAAGAAAGAAAGAAAGAAAGGAAGGAAGAAACTCGAGAGATCAGTTGGAAGACGATATAATGGTTTGGAAAAAGTAAGTATCGTTCCCTGTTGTTGATTTGGTTTCTTTTCCTTTTTCCTTTTTTGGAGCTTCTCTCACGCGTCAGTCGGTCAGTCGGTCAGTCAGTCGGAATCGCGTGTTTTTTTATCTCCTAGGGCAGAATGAGTAGGTGGGAGGATCGATGGATATGTATATTGGTATTGATATTGACGGTATGATATACCAAGAACCGGGATGCCAGGTATTGCGAGTAGAGAAGAAGAGCGAGAAAGGGGATTGGGTGAGGAAAGCAAGCAGATAAAAGAATCCGGATCCTAAATTAAGATAAAAGGAAAAGGTGGCCAAGAAACCCGGGCATGCGAGTTGCGTGATGGGAAGAAGCAAATGCTTTTTAATGCAAGTGCGAGTGCAAGTGCAAGTGCAAGTGTACGTGCAAAGTTTGTCTTGCTGGGCGGGATGGATGGGGCTGAGCGCTCGTAAACGTGCGGGCGGCGAGGATGGAGCTTGAATTTTGCTGCGGGGAGGGTATAGAGGATTGTGGGTTTTTGATGTTATGATGGTATTGTTGATGTTGGGGAGAGATTGGTGGGTGAGAGACCAATAGGGAGATTGGGTGTGTTTTGGGTGAGAGACCAATAGGGAGATTGGGTGTGTTTTGGGTGAGAAACCAATAGGGAGATTGGGTGTGTTTTGGGTGAGAGACCAATAGGGAGATTGGGTGTGTTTTGGGTGAGAGACCAATAGGGAGATCGGATGACGATGGCTGTTGGATTCGAGGCGTTGTGGTGGAAGGTAAATGTGTAAGGAGAGGGCTTGCTTGCTTGCTTGCTTGCTTGCTTGCTTGCTTGAGTGTTGTACAGCAGATGTCAGATATTGATCGTCTAATGCTTGAGGGTTCGGTGGTGAGAATCGTTTTCGAGCAGGCGTCTTTTTGTCAGAGGGAGGTGGAGGGGTAATTTATTTTCTGGAGATATGTGTGTGATTGTATCGAGTTGATGAAATTCCAATATTTGGTGTATCGGAATCTATCTGAAGTTCCAGAATTCCTGAGTGCCCCCGGATTGTATGGTGGGAAGAATGGTGGCTGATGGTGAGTCGTGATCTCAATTTAATATCAATATTATGTATGTCGTTCAATGCATGAAGCATACGATATGAGAATATCACTTCCGGATTCGAGAAGCAGATCAGATCAGATCAGATCAGCTTTGAGAAAGCACGAGAGGGAGGGGGAAAAGACGGTGGATGAGTTTTACATTCATTTTATCAATAATAGATATCAATCATAACTATCATCATCGTTCTGTTTTGAAGTTCATCTGTGTGTTTACAAAAATCTCTCGGTTTGTTTACTTTCCACCCGTCGACGAGGTCTGTGTGAATGCCGTAGACAGTAGTGTTCGTAGTAGTGGTTTCGTTTGTTATGATAGGCATTAGCTCTTTGGGATTCCTGCTCTCCTCCACTTTAAGCTTAGATGCATGGTAGCGGATAAGTGAGTTTGCTTGACAAGAGTAACTATGATCGCATGTCAGAGGGAACCATGATATAATTTCATTGTTATATGGCATAACTCATTATTTATGATGATTAATGCTGCGTTGAGATTCTCATTCTCTCCTCTTTATGCTTATTGAACTCTTCATGCGATGAACAACGAGAGATACAAAAGGAAAAGAACAGAACTATTCATCGTACATGCTAATGATAGCTATGCATTGATCTGTGCGGAGATCTAATTGGCGGTGCGCACCGGAAATGTTTACGATTGGCTCAATGATTTAAAGGAGGCTTTTGAAACACGAGAGAATTTCCTCTTTTTCTGTATGAGAGCCTTAGAATTAGGGGGTTCTATCAAGAAAAGAGGGCTACTTCGTATGCAAGGGCTGTTTTTGAAGGCTTGTATGGCTTCAAAGCATCTGTTCCTGCATCTATGCCGCTGCAGCTAGGTATTGAGGACAGAGCAGGGACGCAAACTAGAGAGCGTGGTTATCTCTTTTGGGACTTAGACGGAAAGTATAATGGTTAGTTGATGGGATGAATAACTACCGGCTAAGGAATGTACTCGAGTATTCGGCAATGATATTTGTTACGCTTCCGAAACAACGAAACGACGAAGCCAGCTGAGGATGAAGCACGGAAAAAGTTTGAAAGAAATTGAGAGAGTGCTCAGATGATCGATCGACACATATGAGAAATGCCCCGAGGGGTCTCTAACTCTGTAGTCACGAAAACATCTACGGATGGAAACCGTTCTAGCCTTTTGGTAAGTTGTAAGTTGTAACTATCTCAAGTCTCAACTCGCACAAACATCTAATCAGATTTTCTTCGATGAGTAACAAAGTCATAGTAGGAAAGCGAGTCGACGGTTCCATGGGACTGCTCCTGAGATCGTCATCGTGTTGTGTAAGTCTCACAGGAGCAGACTTCGCCGTTCAACTACAGATGGGATGAAAATCAATTAATTTTACATAAGTTATATTCTTCACTAAGACCAATCCACCAAAGTGTTGTAATACCCGTTTCTATCAACTTCCTCGATTGCTAATCATCAATGACAGGGAAAACTCTGTCTTCATCTGCAAGCAAAACCACCATATATATTTCTCCGACACACATACTTGGCACGGGCTCCAATGTTTCTAATTAAAATATCAAATATCTTCATCATACTTCCCATAATGCCAATCAATTGTTCTGGATTCGAATCTTTTCTGCACGAGAACCTTTGGATTTCATTGGTAACAAATCATTTGACAAGGGACTTCCCTACCTATAATTCTAGGCCGTTCATCTATTCATTCTTATTCACGTTTTTCAGCCTGAAGATGGGTAAAACAAACGTGATGTCCTGGTCAAAGGGTGGACTTTGTGGAGTCAAAGGTTCATCTCAATCCTTTCCTTCGAATCTTGTTTGCAGACGGGATTGGCAATATAATGCTAATGGTATTTATTGTATTCCTCGGACATCGGGATCAGATTTCTTTCAAATTTCTTCACCTCCTAGCCGACGATCTCCAACTTCCATCTATCGTCGACCGAAGATTCCGAATCTTTTTCAATATCTGTATGTGATGTGATGTGATGCAATAACTATAATATTAACTTACAGCCAGAGTGACATCGGCGACCCTTCCCGGTAAAGAACGTTACCTCGACCCGTCATTTCAGCCCTGAGACCCTTGATTCCATAGTGTTAGGCGGAATATATAAGTTACAGTTACCTTGAGGGATCGTTATATAATATAGTTAAAACATTCTATTAAGATTCTAACTATATAGTTTTCATGTAATTTATATTTTCTAAACCTTTATAATTTCTTCAAAATCCACTTAAAACCTTCTCAAATTTTCTTCAAGATCTCCACTTTATATTGAAGGTTATACTATAATGAGCTAATGATGATTATACTTTATATATAATTACAAATCGCCCAACACTGCCCTTGAAAGATCAAAGTCAAGGGCCCTGGACAAGTTATCCTGCTACCTGTATAGAGTAGTATTCCGTCTCTCAACGCACAGGAAACTCTGACATGTAACTCCGAATGCCCCGGGACAAAACCCATGCCAACCTTACCAGGCATCTGGCTCAAAAGAGACACAGAACAAGGCCTGGCGAGAAGAGTACTCACGCATTTCCATCCACACAATGGGATGTCATCAATCGATCGCGAATCGATATCTACCTAGGTAGGTAGATGGCACTCAAGAGTGAAAATCCCCGAGCCCTAAACACTCGCTCGGGTAACACTAAGGAGTGGAAATGACACGCTGAACATCAGTACCGGTGTATAAGGATTTTTAATTGGAGGTTGGAAAATCTTCGTGGTTGAAGGCGAGCACAGACTTCATCCTCGAATTTGAAACGACGACTAGGTAAGAAACTCAAAGGCCAAGGACTGAAGTCCCTTACTACTTCAAAGTTCGGACGGACAGAGAGGGAACTTGGGGTTACAATAAACATTCATGAAACGAAACGACTTTTCAATTTACAGCATCATCATACTTCTCTTGCGAGTATACCCATGAATATTGCTACTATTCATGCTCATGCTCTCACTCATGAGTCGTCACAACGGCCCGCCCCTTTTCCTTTTCTTTCCCTTTTGAAGGCGGTTAGATCCTTTACCCTTTATGCACTCCGTACAGAAAGTTGTATCCGTACCGTGCGTTGTGGATTTCCTTTTTTTCCCATCGCTATCGTTGTCGTTTCTTCGGTCTCTGCGTTTCTAGAATTCCTTCCGATAACCCGTTTGCGAAACTACCTTTCAGTGATTAGGTGCTATTTTTACTTTCTCTTGGATGTGATAGGTCTGCATGATATTGCGAGAGACGTGGAAAATCGCATGACTCTGGCTTTTTTTCTTTTTGTTCTTTTATTGGGCAGATTTTGACGGGCTAAGCTGAGGGCTGAGAGCTGAAGTTTTAACAATCGATTCGCGTATAGGGGTCTATTCGTAGGAGAAGAAACAGGCTGGATTTGACCACTCAAATCTTGATTTGAATTAATTGATGAATAATCAATTACAAAAGAATTATGTAAATTCAACAGAACTAGAGGAAGTATCAGCCTTTTATTTTTTCAATGATATCTAAAAGCATTATTCCATATTTAGGGAAGAAGACCAATCGAGTTTTCAAAGATGTTATATTGACACCGCCTCTTTTTTCTCCGATGGATAGGGGGTCTAGGTACCTCTGACTATGTACACGTGATCATGAATTTCCTCTTTCTCCTATCAGTCGTACGTTGGATATCTTGGATTAGGGCTCTCACATTCAGAAAACTGTAGTGCAGATATAAGGAAGATATCTCTCGTGGCTGACCCTTTCCTTCGGAGGGTTCCAAAACTAATAATCACGTGATATTGACAAGAATGTACAGGGGAAACCCACAATGTCCCTTGGCACACAAACCCCATCTGCAAAAACCTCGCGCACAATGACTTCCTCGCAGACTCACTCTAAAACACGCCCAGTGACGCCTCAATCCTTTGAGTATACAAAAGACTGCTCGTCAGCACGATGAGTGTCTGCTTCTCGGAATCTTGGATTCTTGGATACCTTTTGAAGAGTTCCTGGAGCTTTTTAACGCCATGCTTTGTGTGCTTGCAGTGTGCATGTGGTTAGTCAGCACGGTGTGGAAATAGATACTCCTTCTATTTCTGCATGCTTTGAGCACTCTTTTCTTCTTCTTCTGAAAAATCTGGTTGGGGTCTTTGGTGTGTTGAGCCGGATTGTTCTTCCTGTCATAAAGCTGTGCTGGGCTTAGTCTCAGAGGTTGGAAGGACACTGTGAGGGTAGGTAGTCGGGCGGTGTTGAACAGCTCCCTAGTTATTCGCGCTGGAGGAATAACCTGACTTCCGATTGATGAGATCTTTTATCAAATTCTGTGCACGTTATCTTTCCACAATTCTTAATTATCCTTTGAATCTTCAGCATCTTGCATATGCAACAGCATTGGCATGCGTCCTTGCAAGAGCTTCCATATCTAATGCAGTCATGTCCACTTGTATCTGCGCCATCCGTTGATTCTGCGGCGAAGAACAATTGCACTTCGAAGGTAATTCTCTTTCAGATTATTTCGAAGCTTTTAAAAATCATTACTGAACCTACCCTGTAGATCAGGGCGCGTTTCGAATTATGCTACTTGTGGTGGCGTAGAGATTGTGTCTCCGAAAAGTATTTTTGGGGTCACTGATCCGAAATTATCAGTCATTCTTGTTGTGGTCTCATGTTTGCGTTTTTGATGTGTTGGTGACGTATCTCTTAATATCTCTGCTTCCAATGTTAATGTATCGACTGGCAACTCGAGGGGGTTTCAATTGTGGAATAGTCAAGGAAGTGACTTATAAACAAAATTCTATTCAATTCTGAGGGATCAAGTTTTTCATTCTAGAAGTTAGTGACTTTCGATGAGATCTTTCATATGCTATAGGATCAGATAAATGTCACAAAGATTGCTGTGTTGTGAAGAAGGCATTATTTAATAATGTATTCAGCCCTAATGATTGACATACGATGCACGGTTCTCCGTATATTCTACAATCAAACGACAGGTCCCTGTTTTGATCGGTTCCCAGTCAAATCTCTTTCAGATTGAAGAGAAGAAGCCGAAGCGAGAATCGAAGTTCGACATCTAAAGCTTGTTGGATTGAAAAAGAGTGAAGATATCCAAAGTTATCTCAGATGCTCTGTTCATCTTCATCATCATGGTTCATACTCCGCTACTTGAAACCTCATATCATGATATGAAGAGAATGTTACAGTAGATTGGGAGCGCCAGACTTTGGGAAGTGTCGTCCATACTGAACCTATCCCAACCTTGTTCACATACGCTACATACGAAGACATCTCATCTCGAATATTTTACACCATCTTCATACAATACCCCCGTGACTATGTCTTAAGCTCAACAAACACATTCCTTCTGTCTTACGTGTGGATTAAACAGCTCCGCCAACCACACCCGGCGATGCCAGTGGCGCGATGACGAAGGAAATGTATGCAATATATTGCTACACCGCTTTAGCTATGTAGTCCAGTATATAACATATGAACATCCTGTGAAGAATATCTGAATACTAACGAGAGGTTTAGGACTCTGCTTACTTGGTGGGAGCGACCTGCGCTATGAGACCGTTAGACGTGGTGCAAAAGTTTGAGAGCAATTGCATTGGATGCAATAGACGACCGAGCCAATTGGGCATTGTAGCTTGGTACAAAATCGCATATAAACATCTTGTAAAGGGGATGTGAATGTTAAAATTTAAGTTATCAAAGCACTATGTGAAAGCAAGTATGCGCACGAGACGCTAGCAGCACACGGTTTGAGGGCAGTGGGGAGTGGGGAACGGGGGGTTCAGTCTGAATGGGAGCTTGTACACGTTTGTTTGTTTGTTCTGAAATGGATAGGACAATTGGCAAGGTATTTTTCAATTGATGGTTCAGACGGTGTTTCCACAGGGTGTACGGTTTCACGTTTATTGCGAGCATTGGTGTGGTGTGGATTTGTGTAATTAGTGCAATGAACAAGCTCCTGGGTTTTGAAGAATCTCATGGATTGCACGAATTGCTTTGTTTCTCTTTCACTGCAGTAATTTGTGTTGTTGGATATACGTTAATCGGGAGTTTAGCAGTCATCAATTTTACGTTCAACATCCGCGCCTGAAGGTTTCCTTGTGTGCCTATCTAGGATTAGTAGAGTCAATCGTTTCTTCCTTGTTTGCATAGTCCCGTAACTGCACATTATCCCAAGTATCAGTAATCGTGTCACATTCTTATAGAAACAACAAAACAGAAGCGGATTCTTTCCGGCAAAGCAGATCCCAAGTTACCTGCTAGTTCAATTTCGCGATCAAAGGACAGTCACGTCTAGTCGATTGTAGGTGATAGAAGAACTAGGTAATCTCGGCAAAATTGACAGTCATCGGGTTGGTTCTGTATTACCTTTGTCTGGCCGTGTCCATTCAAAACTGCATTTATCATTCACAAAGGAAACCACTAGATCAATATGTGATTCAATTGATTCATTCGAATGTTAATCAATGTGATCTCGATGTCAATCTCGATCTCGATCCACAATCTCCATTAGTTAAAATATGGTTTGTGTTATGAAGGGATCCGTCTTTCATCGAGACGCATATTTTGCATCGAACATCCTTTGTAAATTCGATACCGGCTTCGAACCGTACAACCTTTCATTGTTAAGGTCCTTGAGCTAGATGATATACCTCAAAACAGCCTGAATGGCGTGCTCTATTTTTTTATACTCTCCGTTGAAATTTTCCCATTTCTCGTGTTATACTGTTATCAAACTCGCTATTCGTACAGTTGTGGGAGTGTTTGCTTTGATAGAGTGATGGTTCTGTATTCGTGTTAGGCTTCTTACTTTGAGTTCTTTCAGGGAATGTTTATATAAACCTTTGCGATTTTCATAATTTCTTCTATCCTACTATCACCCACTTAAAGTTTCCCAGACGTGGTATACACATCTGTAATTTATCATCTACCTTTTTATCAATCAAACATGACAACAGAAGGCTCCTTGGAAGAAGAGTGCCCCTAGTTGGAAAGCCAATGGTACCCTCCACTCAACAAAATCAAACGGTTCTTTTATGATTGTCACAAACTCAACAGCATGTACACATTGGAAGAGAACGAAGTCAAATGGCGCATTCAAAATGGTAGATGGCCAATGAATCAGAGTTTAAAAGAAATAGATGACGATCCGAACGCCTGGCTAATCTGCAATCTCATCTTGCGGCGGAGCCAAGGCCGATCTCCGTCTGCAGATTGGTACGATGAAAAAGACGATTCTAGCTATCATATTACGGACGCTCCTATGCCTCCGCCCAAGGCTACTTATCACAAACGCTCAACGAGACGTTTCCGGGCCGGGGGTGACATTCCGCTGGTAGGAATTCTAGATGCACGTACCTGGATGAACAATTCGGCGACATGGAGCATTGGGTATAGCGGCGTTTTGAAAATGGGCTTTATTCATTTACAACATGATCTCACACATCAATCCGTAACGCTGAACTGGTTGAAGGGAAAACTTTCGCCTGAGCAGGCTGAGAGATTGAAAATCCCAAGGAGCATACGCTATGAGGTGCAGATGAAGCGTCATATTTAGGCTACGCAACGGGTACCCGCGGGGCGGATAATGGCCTCGACAGATAATCTGCGGATAATCCGTCTACAAAGCAGATAATTCAGAATTTAAACAGATAATCTATAAAGTAGGTACAAATTACCCGCGGATATCCATCTACTTATATATTATATAATTATTTATAATCTTTTATAATCTTTTATAATATTAATATAATTTTATAATTAATATAAAAATTAATATAAATCTAAACTTGGATTACTTTTAGACTAAAAAATAATCTGAAAATAGCTTTATATTTTAAGCGAAAAAAGTAGAGATTCTTCAGTTTTTTCAAAGAATCTATATATTTATAAATTATTTATACAAAATAAATGATTTTAAAACTTTGATAAATAATCCATAGAGCAGGTAGAACTTCTAACAGATAATCTATGGAGCAGATTATCCGCAGATAATCCACGGGTACAGATAATTTGTGCGTAGCTTAGTCATATTTCATTTGAAACTCAATTATATGGCTTGAACTTTCAACAAGCATGGCCGATACTTTCGCCACAACAAAGGGAGAATGTCATAACGGCTGTGAAAGATTCTTGTTTTGAATTGTCGAAAATAAAAGGGGATAAGATTGAGAGCGTTGAAGGAAAAGGCATTATGGATCTGGTTTTGCCGACGTCTTACGAGCTTGGGGTAAGTCCCTACGACCCAGCAGGCATGCTAGCTAGCTGGGAAAGGACAGCATTAGCACCTGGGTTATCGGAGTTCTGTTTCGCGCATAACAGCTTGTGGCCTCATCATATTATTCTCATGGACTATCCCAATGGAGGCTATTCGGATTTACGAGTTCCAACCATTGGGCTTACAAGTTGGTCGTTGGCGGGATTTGTACCGAAAGTGTGGGTTCGTACGAAATTTGTTGTGGATCAGATGTACGATCTGTCGCCAGTTCAAATGCTGGATGTAAAATTGCACTCGGGTGTTAGGGCAGATGAATTACACAAGTATAAGTGGAGCGCCTTTAGAGGGCTGGGAAGAGCGCCATATAATATGCCAGAGATCAGGGCTCTTTACTGGAGAGCTAATCCTATGGCCGCCCAAATCAGGGGAACGGACTTTATTGATGGGAGGAGTGCTCTCATGAGCTACGGAGGCGAGGATGCTGAAGCTTACCTTGCACAGGAGGAGGAAGAGGAACGGGAGCGGAGGCGGAATAGGCCCGGAGAAAGATGAGAGGAGGCTGATAGGCCTGCAGGATGGCTCGAATCTGCGTCTGACCGCTATCCGTGCTCACAAGGGACAATTGCTGAGGTTAGATTTCGATTTCACCGAATCTGATTATTTTATATATCCTCTCCTGTGTCGATCTGTTTTTAGTCTTGCGATGTATTCAGTATATGTCACACAATCCTTTGTAACTTGGTATAAAACCACCTTGTGAAAACATCTGCGTATTTGCCGTTCTAAACATCAACGACGAAGACAACTCTCCGGTAGATACAAGCAGTTCCGTCATCTTATCTTTTTTCAAATTCTTCCCGACAATTATGATGGCAAATTAAAACCTTCCAAATGTTGAAATTGTGAAATTGCATCTTCTTTCTGGCTTTGGGGTAGGGGCTCGATGTCAAAAATGGGACATGGTATAAGTTTGAGACCACCTGTAGCTTTGAATTCCATGTGCATGAGCCAGTTTGCAGTATGCAGTAGGGCAGTACGAGGCAAGGTTAAATTCATAATGAGATTTGTTTATTACTGGTTTAGGGACTATCAATTTCAAACCTCAGGGTATCAGCTGCCTGGAGTTGGCGTCACCCGATGATGCTAAAAGTTCTTTGAAATATTGAAACAGCTAGAAGGGACCCAACTTCGGGACGCCAGTTCTGACATGTATGATACTCACGATTTTGCTCCTGCCCAACTTCCCAAAATGACTGCGGGCAGGCACTTCGAGAGAGTATCGCCATTTCTTTCAAAGCCATACTCTCTATACCGATATTCGGACTATATACACGAAAATGATTCACTAAACTAGGCTCCAAGTTGAGTATTGACATCTATGGGCATGGTGGATCACTCCTTTATGTCTGTTATCCGCGGGGTTTTGCAGAGTGTTCCCGAGGAGCACCAGTGTACTTCCACTTGGCAACCAAAGAATGTTCACGACGAAGCAATTTTCTTACGCCCGCTGTCGCCAAAAGTGGCTCCTCAAAAAGCTGTTTCCCTTTGCATGAAGACAGCTACTTCATTTTATATTGTCTAAGCCAGTCGATTTTGGAAGATAGACGGGTCAACGGACAAGTGCAGAGAAATTCGCCTCGTCGTTCTCGTTTTGTTGTGGTACAATGAACGTTCTACCCAGCCTTGTATTCTGTCATAATGCCTTTAAGTTTGCATTTCTTTCATGGTATTCCTATTTCTTTTTTACTTGCACCTTCTCATTGAGTTCCAAGTGACGGGCAATTGAATATGACTATCTTTCTTAAAAATGCTATTCGCCCGACATTATTGTTTGGTTTGCTTGCCAGTCCAATGGCAATGACAATGCCTACAGACGAGGGTTATCCTATGATTACTACAGCGCCAGTTGCTCTACATGATCTCAATCGAGTTTTAAAGCGCGACTCTCAAACATGCAATAACGATATTTGCGAATCGCCTGCTATTTGTGTTGGTCCCATCAGCAATTACGCGACGTGCTGCTATCCGTAAGTTATCTCTTTCTTGTTCGAATGAAAGCCAGAAGCTGAAACCATTGAAGGGGAGAATCTTGCAGTGTGGCAACTACCTGCTATCCATACACAGAGAACCAGACCTACATAGAATCAGTTGGTGCATCTTATTGGTGAGTTCCAACACTACCTGTGTAAATATTGAGCAATGCCTTTAACACAGGATGATCCAGTACTGACTCCGCCTGGCCAAACTGTAACACGTATGTTTTTGATGCATATAATGAGCTTGAGGTTATATATTGTAACGATGTAACGACGCCTGGCGACATTATAATCGTGACCGATACATACTATTGGGGAGGCTCGTTTTCAACCCCCGGGTCGCCTACTATCACGCAGTACGTAACTGTCGTATCTTCTATGAGCTCACTGGCCCCACAAACAAGTACAGCACCATCTACCTTAAAAAGCACAACATCATCAACATCAACATCAACCAGCGCCATATTAGCTATTGCCACATCATCATCCGCAGTAGCAACCACCCATCACGCTCTTCTCACAGGCATCGTCATTGGAATAGCAGTAGGTGCGACACTACTCGTTGTATCACTACTCACAATCTTTATCCTTCTCTGGCGACGGCGCTCATCTTCTTCAATTACCAATATACCACAGCCATCATTAAACACAAATCCAGAAATCCAAGTAGCATCCTATGTCTCTCCAAACAAAGACTCAAACCCACATACAAGCTGGACTTCAGTAGCTAGAGGCAGTGAGAAATCTCCATCATGTGCCTTCGAAGCAAGACGTACGGGTAGCAAGCCAGAAGGCCAGGTGGATGGAGTAGTTGATGGGATTTGTGAACGACCGGCTTGTGTACCACCGGTGGCCGAGATGGTGGCGCCAGTAGAGCCAATTGTTATTAGCGAGCTTGGGGGTGAGAGTCGGGGGGAGATGGAGATGGCAGGGGAATAAATCATTGAGATTTTTCACGTAAAGGGATGATCAAAGGGGAAGAGTTATAAGAGTACTATGGTCGTCTTCCAAAACTACCAACTGACCCACTGCCCCCTCAAAACCCTCCACTAAAGGCCGCTTAAGATACATATTCACCCGTCAAACTAAAGAGGAACAGAACATGAAGGTATCAGAGATCCCACTGTGTTTCAAAGTCTATGATTCTCAATGAAAAAAATAAAAACTAAATTTCTTACACTTTGCTCCTGAATTCAAACATCCCCATTACTTGCAACAAGCGATTTGCTTCCCGTTACCATTCAACGGCGTCATATAATACGCATTCAGATTCCGTGATCTTCAATTTGAATAATTTTCACCGAGAATAAGGTCTTCTAGTGTGCTCGTCCAATTTCGACATATAACAAAGAAGAACATCCTCTGACAATTGAAGTCACTCAACTTCCAAATTACAACATCTTCCAAATATATTCAAACTTGAGAATAATGTCATGAATTATTTCTCTTTTGGCGACACTTCTTCAAAAGCGATCAATACCAATCACATTATTTCTTTATCATATTTGCCATCGCCAACGCCATCACCATTTATGATCATTCTGATTTGCGAATATATCCTCGAGCAAAGAAAACACATGATCTCCCGCGAAAAGCCGATTCTAACCGGCAAATTGATAACTTATAAGAAAAGAGAACAGAGAATAGACAAACAGCATACAAGAGAATGCGATCTCGAAGCTCATCGTCGCGCATACAAGGAGAGTAAATGAGAGAGGAACAATGGTAATGGTGGTGAGATGCAGACGAGGGTTTAATTTGGTCAAGTGTACGGAGTACTCGTATCGATTGGTTGACAATGATTAGGATGGACTTTCCCAATTGACTTTAGTAATAGATGAGTGATGATGTTGGTGTTGAATGTTATCTCATAATGGATTCCCCAATCAAAGTGGTCTTTGACCCTGAAAAAGTTTAAATGGGTTGATATCAGGAATCAGGATTGAGATGTTGGCTGACTCGCCGGCCTCTAATAGGGAAAAATATTAGTTGACTGCTGTGTTATCAAGCAGAATTTTGTGCTGAGTGCTGAGTAACAAGTCCTAAGCTACATATACTGTCATCGTATCGTCGTCGTCGTCGTCGTCGTCGTAGCTCTCTTTGTTGTCGCCTGCACCAAGTATCGCATACTCTGTACTCATTGAAGTTAGTCAAACCTCGAATGCAAATGATTATCAAGCCAATCATTGCCTTTCCATCAATTGACTTACTCTCCTCTTATGTAATTTCAATCGATACACACATATCAGCCACCACTGGGGATCTCCCACCTGGGCCTTCTCCCTCGAGCCCCTCTTTCCAACCCTTACAATCCCCAGTTTTAGTTACAGTTTCGCGTCACATATCACACACAAATCACGATAAGTCGGGTAAGATAAGTCCAGCAAGGTTAGCAAGGTCAGAAAACAACCCGAAATTCATTCCTGACCCCACTCACCTGCAGCGGCGAGGAGAGGAGAGCGAGCCAGGTAAGAAATACTACAAGAGATATAAAACCCTTTTTCTGGCTCTTATTTTCTATTCCCTTTTCCTCCTTTCCTCTTCTTCCACTTCTTGTTCTTCTTCTCTCTCACCAATCTCCCCTCTTTCTCATCATCGCACAAATAATGGCTTCCCTAAGAGCTGCCGCCCAATTGCCTCCAATGGCTTCAAGGGCCCTTCCACGAGCGGTACGAACATACGCCACTACGAGTGTCAAACCATTCTTCACTGGTGAGCCAGAGAGACCACATGTCAAGACTGCCATTCCAGGTCCAGAATCCCAAAAAGCAATTGCGGAATTGGACAAAGTGTTTGATACTAGAAGTTTGAACATGCTTGCCAATTACCAAAAGAGTTTGGGTAACTACATTGCGGATCCAGATGGAAATGTCTTGTTGGATGTGTATGTTATCATTCCCAGTTCTTTTGATGATTTACCACGGTATACTGATATCAGAGCAATAGTTATGCCCAAATTGCATCCATTCCAGTTGGTTACAGCAATCCTCATCTCCTCAAAGCCGCACAATCCGAACAAATGGCATCTGCCATCGTTAACCGTCCTGCCCTTGGCAATTTCCCTTCGCACGATTGGGCCGATATTATTAAGACGGGTATCCTGAAGGTAGCACCAAAGGGTCTTGATCAGGTGTTCACTGCCATGGCAGGTTCAGATGCCAATGAGACTGCATACAAGGCTGCATTCATGTATCGTCGACAACAAGAGCGTGGTGGTGCACATGTGGAATTTTCAGAGGAAGATATTGCTTCATCGATGCTTAACCAAGCACCAGGTGCTCCTCAATTATCTATCATGTCTTTCAAGACTGCCTTCCACGGTCGTCTTTTCGGTTCCCTATCTACCACTCGCAGTAAGCCAATTCACAAGCTCGATATTCCTGCTTTCGATTGGCCACAAGCTACTTTCCCTCTTCTCAAATACCCACTCGAGGATCACGTTGTGGAGAACCAGAAGATCGAAGAAGAAGCTCTTGCCGATGTTGAGCGTATCATCACCACTCACCATCTCCCGCCTTGTGCCGTCGTAGTCGAACCCATTCAATCCGAAGGAGGAGACAATCACGCCTCACCCGCCTTCTTCCGCGGTCTCAGAGCCCTCACTAAGAAACACAACGTCCTCCTCATCGTCGATGAAGTTCAAACTGGTGTCGGCGCCACCGGTAAATTCTGGGCCCATGACCATTGGAACCTCGACACTCCTCCCGACATGGTCACCTTCTCTAAGAAGGCCCAAACCGCCGGTTACTACTTCGGAAACCCCGAGCTCCGTCCCAACAAACCATACCGTCAATTCAACACCTGGATGGGAGACCCAGCTCGTGCTATCCTTTTCCGTGCCATCATTGAGGAAATCGAACGTTTGGATTTGGTTAACAACACCGCCAAGGTTGGAGATTATCTTTACGGAGAGCTCGAAAGTCTCGCCAAGCAATATCCAGCAGAGATCCAAAATTTGAGAGGTAAAGGACAAGGAACTTTCCTTGCCTTTGACAGCGACCGCAGAGATGAGGTTCTCAAGAAGGCCAAGGGCGTCGGTATCAACATTGGAGGATCTGGCGAGCGAGCCGTTCGTCTCAGACCTATGTTGATTTTCCAAGAACACCATGCCAACATCTTGTTGGAAGGTCTTGAGAAGATCTTCAAATCCTAGTTTTTCTCTAGGAGCATCGCTGTCTCAATTTTTCCCCTTTGAAAATGAGCACAATAAGCGATGACAAAGGAAACTTTACTTTCTCACGACATCGTTTTTGGTTTTTTTACCTTTTTTTTATATTTTGGTTTTTGGTCTTTTTTTGGACATTGATTTTTTTTTGCTTTTGCATTTGGATACGGATTGATATGTAACTTAGCCTGGGTAAAATGTGCTTGGAGTTTTCAGGTTGGATCACCAACTGCGTTAATCGCGCGGTGAAGATGAGATGAAATGAGCACGCAGGTTTTTGCAGATGCATATGATCTAGATAGAATAGGATGAGGATGAGGATGAATACAGAGATATGACGAGGGACGAAATTTCGCCCTCGCTCAATTCTGTTTTGGGTGTGGTGCAGTGCATGCGGTGCGGGTTGATGCGAAGATGTGAAAATGGATGTCGTGTATGTGATGTGATGATATGCGAATAGTGAAATGAATTGAAAGTATGGCAAAATGGTTAGTGAAGTGGGCGGGTTAATTCAAAAGCCCATTTATACTCGAGTGTCGGGTATCATGATTATCTATAAAGATGAGTGTTGATGATCAACATGGTTAAATAGTAGTGAGAGATGATGGGATAACAGGCGTGATGAGATGAGTACCTATCTGTATAGATGCGAGTAAATACGAGGGAGGGCATAGTCGATTTACGAGGATAAAATAATAGAATCAGCTATCAAAGATAGGTAGTATCACAGCATCAAATTAAATACTCCATACGAATATCGATATCATCAGTACAAAGCATTTGGATACTCCACGATATCCACACAAGAAACCCCGAATAGTATCGACACATTCGAAATATAGTACACTCATTCGTCAACTATCTTACACATAACAGTCGTTCGTTCTTCATTATTCGCATTGTAGCTTGATGTTTCCTCCACCCCGTGGCAAATTCATTCGCTCCTAACCAAGTCTTTCCACCCTTCCTCAGAATTCACAGATTCTTGAAGCCTATGTTCTTATTTCCCTTCAATATGTATTTCCAATCCACAAGCATACATCTCAACACCCACTTATGATGGAAAGAAATAAAGGACAGGCTTGGTGTATCACCGCGCGGCAGCAACTATTGTCAAATAACAAAAACGAAGAGGAAAACAATTTTGACGCTGCCGCTCCAAGTGTCATTACAAACATGGTATCGTAGCATAAAGAAAATAAGAGAAAGAAAAAAGTATCGTTGGAGTAAGTGGCATTGCATTTGATTGCCATGCGTCGACAGATGTTATAGAACGAAAGGTATGACTTCGTTAAGGGCATAAACTCTAGAAAGAGGCCGTTCATATGAATCATAGAATCAAGAATTATGTCGTAATTTGTCGAGTAAAAGGTATCAGAAGAGTTAGATGTAAACTGATATTCCTTGTGAAAGAAGTCTGGCATGTGTTGACGTGTGTAGGGTATACGCTTAAAGATTGCTCATAACTGACGGAGAGGTGTGACAGAGACAAACTTAAATGTCAGATCTTTAATTGTCCTTCAGGTTTCCCAAAATATCTGTGCCTTTATATTGCATTTCCTGCTGCTCTTTGTTGTTTGCTTCGCCACTAGCATGCATTTGACGTCCTTCAACATTGCTCTGGTTGTTAAATTGCGTCCCATGGCCTTGGCTGTCTCGAGTAATTTGAGCTTCACGAGGCTCTGGTTGGAATTTAGCTCTCATAGATCTATCAAATGTCTGATGAATACCGAATTGTGGCGGTGTTTGAATTCGTTGCGGAAACTGGGCAGGGAGAATGGGGAAGCTGCCTTCGCCTGTCCTAGGGACCTTTACAAGAGTCAGCACGCAGTAACCCACACACGTCTTTAAGTCAACATACATTTGAAGACCTGGAGGTTGGTCGGCCACGCCTCTTTTTACTGGAATCCATTTTATCACCAGTAGAATTGACTGCACTTGGCTCAGACTTTTGAGCTAGGGTAGCGATGGGTGCCGAGGACAAAATGCTTTTTAAGGTGATATCTCTACCACTAGTAATGGGAGACTCGATTGGCCCCTTGGAAGTTGCAAGTGAATCTATTCGCTCTCCACGCGCGATCTCTTCAGCCTGTCGAATCTTGAGATCGGTCTTAGAAGGTCGACCACGCTTTTTCGGTATTTGGCCTGCAAATTGCGGGGAGAACGAGTTTGACGAGCCATTCGCAGCCGGCTTGGGCTGAATGTTGCGCTGAGTAGAAGCAACATCTAAACCTGGAGTTCGTCGCTTTCGAGAAGAGTCGGGAGCTGTCAATTCAAGATCGGAAATAGACTTGCGTTTGTTCTGGAAGCCAGGAGAGTCACTGGAAAATAATGAAGCGGAGGGTAGTTGCGGCGTCAAACTATTGTAAGTTCGACCAGCGATACTATCAAAAGTATGTATACAAGATGCTAAGTTTCGTCCTAAAATCTCCAATCAACTTTTTTCCCCCATCAATGTGTGTCGGCGCTTGCAAGTTGTTCATACATGTCGCGCGGGTTTACTGGGTCTGAGAGTTGGAGGTCAAGCTAGGGTAAACGCTTACCTTGGGGAACCTGCATTAACATCCAGTTTGGACTGACGTTACTTTCACTCAGGAACGCCAACAACTTTTCTGGCGGAATAGAACTTGTCTTGATCACTTCTGCAAGGAGAAACCGCTGTATTATAACGACGATCGAAAGTCAGCATAAGGTGCTCTTGTCAATGATACGCGTGCAAATATTGCGTTGATCTCAGCTCGTAGTGATCATTTTGAATTCTTGCGCAAACATACCTGTTCTTGTTCTGTGAATGGCAACTCCATGGTTGTTGCAAAGGATAGAAGTGAGGTATGAATAATGGTTAAAAAGCTATGTGTTTGTGATTGATGTGTAGTATTATGTTCAATCAATGTCTAAAGACGAATATATAACAAAGATGGTGTATCGAGCGAGTGAATGTGCAAAAGAAATTGACAAATAAAATAGATCAATAAGTCATTTAATAAGTATTGAACATTGAATACTCTTGCGGTGGGAACGAATCCTCCTTATTCACCTGTCTGAAAAGAGTGAGTGAGAGTGAGTGAGGGTGAGCAATTGAGAGGAATCAAAACCGTTCCAAGGGTTATGGAGCGTGTAGCAAAATCAAAGTACAATTGAAAAATGAAAGGTAGAAAAGCGACGAGAGCGATAAGAGACCCGCGACCCGCGTATTTTGGAAGGAACCTTGAATGGGAGGAGCAGGTCGTTGAAGAAGCGGAAGCGCGTGCAGAAATCGAGAAGGTAAGAAAGGATAAATGGTTTTGAGTTTTTGAATTTTGAGTTTTGGGGGTTTTGTATTTGGTTTGCAACAAAGGCAACCATCAACGAGACCGCCACTCTTCACACAACGAGATGTACCTGCCTCTGTCTGTACATGTGTACATGAAGATATTGTACCGAACGGTCGTTAGCCGTAACAAGGTTAAAGGTTGACTAAATTTCCAATTTCATCTGAAGGAAATCAAGATGATATACAATGAATGAATGTAGACGAGAGTACAGAGTACAGAGAAGAGAGAAGAGAGTAGAGAGTGAGGAGTGAGGAGTGAGCCCAGGCCAGATAGGTGAGAGGATAAACAAAAGACGACCTCAGAATAAGATTTCGAATTCTTTTCTTTTCTTTCTTTTCGTTTCTTCTCTCTCATTTCCTGATGATTTCTCGTCTCTTTCCTAGGTTGTTTGAGGAAGAGAATAAACAACATGCGAGGGAATTATGTTGTGCATGTATGCAAGTCCCATGAGAGGCAGATGAATAAGAACTTTTAACTAGATGTATTGATACCAGCCAATGCGCTGTGCAATGCAAGTTGATGTTAGGATGAGAAGGAGAGGAGAAGGAGAGAAAAGAGAAGTGATGCATGATTTAAGTGAAGGAGAGGGGTGGAGAGTTCAAAAAGGAGTAAAGGTGGCTTGAAAATGGTATTCAAGTATCTCCAGCTCCAGCTAGGTATCTAGGTAGGAAGGTCGAGATACCCTACCATACTAGGTCCATAGTGGCTGAAGTGAGGTGAGAAGTAAGAAATGGGATCTGAATTTGGAGATCTGAGAAATTTCAAGTGGCTAATAAAGTGGCTAAAGTGGCTAAAGTGGCTAATATCTCTGGAGTCTCCAGGGCTGGAGTTCGAGGTCTTATCTATCTCTTTCGGATGGTCTGTTTTTTCTACACCTAGGGACCCAGGTACTAGATAGGTACCGGTATCAAGCAATACCCTTCATCCATTCCGGTAGTCTCCCTTCCTTTCTCCATCTTCGCCCTTAATCATATCATACTGCATGTTCGAAAGTCTGGTTTAATTCATCTCGTCATGAAAGTACCAGGTAGGTAGCTTTCTCAGGTATTCCCTTGGCATTCTGCAGTTCAATTCTTCCAAGATTACCTATCTACACAGGCAAGTAAAAAGAAGAAATGTTTGATATCTCATGTTATTGTTACATAGGTACCTAGGTCTGAAAACGAACGAAATGTGCCTAGATATTTAACGAGGGAAGCGATTCTTGATCTACTATTGGATACCAACTATCGTTCAAACTGTCCTTGCAGCTTCCTGGAACTTATTCGATTCGATCCTGAGATTGGCTCAAACGAAATTCATCAACCTCCAATAATAAGCTGGAACAACTTGGTGGAATCAATCACATCCAGCACAACCCAACCATTTATTACTACAACGACTTGATAAGGCTGTGAGTACTGCGACCTCGTCATTGTTATACATAGCCTTATTCTCAACCTTCTAAATAATCTCTTTCTCTCTTTCTTCGAGTATTATTCACTCATTATCTTCACACGAGAAATCGAGAATGCTGAATTGATTGGTTTTGGAGGGTCCGATTCTTTGAATGGCTATTCTTCCGAGGCCAAATATGCGACCCATTGATTGTACCTCTGTCTTTCTTCTTCTTTTCTTTTGCTGTTGAACGAATCATCTCAACTTAAAACGAAAGCGGCAAAAGATTTCAATCTTATATTTCATTGGCATGGAAACCATGATAGTGATCTCTTCAAGGGAAGTGATACTCTTATAACTGAAATTCTCTGTAGGGTTGACTTTTTGGCGCATGCAGGAATGCGCTGTCAATAATTCACGAGGCACCTGGATACCTAGGTATGAAAGATGACCAGTCAATTTCGTCTCTCTCTCGTCTTGACCACCACTGACAAAATCACAGATGCGATGATGCTATGAAATCGCGATAATATTCTTTCCGTCCGATGTATTACTGCAAGCCCTATGTCGGAGATCATTGTGGGGTTGAACCTGAGAATCTGGGATACGCTGTTGTATGATCAACTATGCATTGATACAATTTGAACTTATACTGTTGCAGCAATACACGAGTGAATTGATGCTATCGAAGAATAAAACTCTGGCGCCACATTTGCGAATCCACAAACTCAATACATTATACCTCTACATTCGACATCATACTACACACAATGGGAATTGGCGAGGGCTACGGACTATGAGATGGCATCCGGGAAGTCGGCCCATAATGGTCTTTGAAGGACCAGATGCCAAAGACGATATACACATATTATGATTAGTGCGCAGGAGGTGTGGTAAAGTTTTGTTGAGACTCTAACGATTCGGCATCATCTCAGTTGGCATTGGATTTAGCAGATAAGCCAGTTTACATCATCATACCAAACATTTGGTAAGGTATGAGGGTATAACCACGTTTGGATACTTTGGGGTATAGAATACGCGGTATCAATCGTATGAAATGATTAAGCAGATTGGAGTAGTTATCAATTGTCTGCGTGGTTTAAGGAGGGTATAGTTTGATTTTCAGCGTTCTTTCAGAAGTAGCGGAATTAAGGTTAGCCGAGCGCGCAATAGCTCGTCTCAATTTGTATCGTCGTCCTCCTTCATAGAGCAATCATTAGCAATTATCAACTACTTTGGGGGCTGAAAGCCATTTCATTTCATGAGAAGTGATTTGTGAGCATTGGGATAGAGGAAATTAAGAGTTTGGTCTTTGCAATATGTTGCAGAGGTGAAATTGGAGGTTCAGCCGTCGCATTTCCATTACTTCGCTCCCATCTAAATCCATCCTCCCGTCCAAATTTTCCACGTCCCACATTCATTCACCGTGGCAAACAAGATCTATATGCTCTTGCCAGCAGAAACCCGACCATATTCAAGTCTGCGAAGCAATATCGACCTCGCCAGCTAATATTTCGCGACCTTGCATGCAAGCTACTCGCGTTTTGCCATCCAGGCGCAACCACTTTCTTGACTTTCAAGTGTGCGCGCAACAAACAAGAATTAATTGCTTGCAAATTCAAGGAAGTTTTAAAACTACCAATATCAATAATACGGCGTTGTTGTGTTCTACTGTCGTTGGGTACTTCACATCTGCCACCACTAGTAAGGGAACAAAAGGCCACTTCGAACACATTAACAAATAGTTCGGCTTCCCCTTTGCACCAGCACACAAAAACAAAGTAATCGCACCACAACTTTACGACGTGTCCTGCTCACGATGGAGGATGACATTCGGGAGCTCCAGCCAGAAGCTGTAGATGCTGCGATCGGTGAAATGAAGATTGAGGAGGGCATTGAGGTTCAAGATTTTGCCAATGGCTCAAATGGATATATTTCTACTCCTACAGAAATCAAGAGGTCTCACTCTAGTACACCGGGTCTTGTAAATTCTCGCCCTCAAACACCGCCCCGAAAGCAAAGCACCAGCCAAACACCAAAATCCGGAGATGGAGAGGATGAAGAGATTGTTGGCGGTGATATTACCGTCACCGTCGAGCCTGGCAAAGCACCGAAGCTATCGAGAAAATCATCACAAAAAGTAATTTCTCGACCACCCCCTCTCTTTAACGATCTTCCAGATTCTACAGAAGAGGCAGCTTCTGTATTCCAGGTAATCAAGGATTGTATTTATGGAGCTAAGCATATGGGAGCTTCAGATCACGATGCGTTGGATTGTGATTGTCCCGAGGAATTCAGTAAGTCTACAGATATACTTCAAGCACTTTCTTTACTTTACGTGCCATCGGTCGCAGAATGTCAACTTCAGCTGACATATTTTATCAGGCGATGGAAAAAATCATGCCTGTGGAGAAGATTCAGATTGCATTAATCGATTGACCAAAATGGAATGTGGTGGAGGTCATAAAGATTGCAATTGTGGTGTGGCTTGTCAGAATCAACGCTTTCAACGCAAACAGTATGCCAAAGTTTCAGTGATCAAGACAGATAAAAAGGGTTACGGATTACGCGCAAATACTGATCTACATCCTGATGATTTCATCTTTGAGTATATCGGAGAAGTCATTAATGAACCGACATTTCGGCGACGTACCGTCCAATATGATCAGGAAGGAATCAAACATTTCTATTTCATGTCTCTTACGAAGCATGAATTCGTTGATGCAACCAAAAAAGGAAATCTAGGTCGGTTTTGCAATCACTCCTGTAATCCAAATTGCTATGTCGATAAGTGGGTGGTCGGAGAAAAGCTGCGCATGGGCATTTTTGCCGAGCGTGCAATCAAAGCCGGAGAAGAGCTGGTCTTCAATTATAATGTTGATCGATATGGTGCCGACCCTCAACCTTGCTATTGCGGCGAGCCGAATTGTACTGGATTCATTGGAGGCAAGACTCAAACTGAGCGTGCTACTAAACTTCCTCATGCTACCATTGAAGCTCTTGGTATTGATGATGGTGATGGTTGGGATACAGCTGTTGCCAAGAAACCCCGGAAAAAGAAGACAGGTGAAGATGATGAAGAATATGTTAACAACGTTCAACCAAAGGGACTCGATGAAAATGGAGTACGAAAGGTTATGGCAACTCTTATGCAATGCAAAGAGAAATGGATTGCTGTCAAATTACTTGGTCGAATCCAACGTTGCGATGATGATAAAGTCCGAAACAGAGTCATACAAATGCACGGTTATCAAATTCTTCGTACGACCTTGACTACTTGGAAGGAAGACAACAACGTGATCCTTCAAGTTCTCGATATTCTATACAAATTTCCACGACTTACTCGGAACAAAATTGTTGATTCCAAGATCGAAGCGGTCCTAGAAGATTTCACAACTTCCGAGCATGAAGACATTGCCTTCGAGTCAAAGAGGCTATTGGAAGCATGGAGCAAGTTGGAGCATGCGTATCGAATCCCAAGAAGAGCCCCAACTCTTGTTGCACAAGTATACGAACGGCGTCCAGACCCAGTAGAAAAAGTCACTCCATCACCATCCCCTGTTATTGTTGCCCCTACTGGCCCCCGAAGTGGTGTTCCTCAACGCAACGCCAACTTTGTTCCCAATCGCCCTATGTCTCGGCGCCCGTTTGTCCCCATGGTATTACCACCTGGCTGGTTTACTGCGATGGATCAAAACGGAAATGCTTATTATTATAGTAAGACGGGACAAACAACATGGGAGAGACCATTTATGCCAGCGGGTATATCCCCACCACCACCACCACCCAAGGCGGCTCCAAAGAGTGTGCAAACACAAAAAGCTCTTCAAGATATTATCGACAGTATTACAAAGGAGCCCTCGACAACTCCGGCACTTTCTTCTCATTCCGCCGAGGGTACACCCAAGGAAAAGAAGAAGCCTGTAGAAAAATGGCGCTCATTGCCTATTGAGAAGCAGATGAAACTGTACGAAAATACTGTATGTATAATCTCTTGCTTCTCTGTCCACGTATAGGTTTCTCTTCAGATGAATTCTGTCAGCTATTCTCTCCTAACTTCTCATTATAGTTATTTCCTCACATCAAACACGTAATGCAAAAATATTCTGGCAAACTTCCCAAGGACGATCTTAAGAAATTCGCCAAGGAGTGTGGGAAAAAGCTCGTGGCTTCTGATTTTAAGAACAATCGCATTGAAGACCCCACAAAGATAACGGACAGGAATCAAAAGAAAGTCAAGCAATATGTGTTCGATTATTTCAAGAAGGCTGTGGAAAAGAAAAGGGAAATGGATGAAAAGCGAGCGGAAAGGAAAAAGCGCGAAGGGCAGGCTAAAATTAATGGAAATGGCACAAGCGAAAAGGGGACAAAGCGAGAGAATGTAAACTCGATTGTTAGTCCAGATATGATTGATAATGAGGACGTGGAAGTCAATATACCAAGTCCGACGGCATCACCTAGTGGACAACTCGAGATGGAGTTGTTGAAGAGGAAGAGGGAAGATGACGAGGAAAGTCCATCGGAAAGCAAGAGGGTCAAAGAGGATGGTACTGAGAGTGCAACACCGACAGATTCATCTACACCTCCTCCGCCTCCTCCACCGCCGCCCGCGGAAGGGATGCCTATGACAGGATCGGAAGATCTGGAAATAGCTAATGGTGAGGGAGTGGGAGAGGCGAAAGAAGAAACGGAAGAGGAAAGAGAATTAAGGATGCAGGAAGAGGATTTAATGAGGGAGAATGAAGAGGCTATGAAGATGGAGATGGAAGTGGATACTGATGGAAGGTTGAAGGGGAATAATGGCTGTAGTCAGCATATAAATGGTGAACATAGTGGTGGGGAAATCTCGACGGAGGGATGATATTTATTGCCAATGGAGGGAGACAAAATTGGGAACCGCCTGTATCAACATCATCATTATCTTGATTCCAAAAAATTTATCGGCATCGCATCGCATCGCATCAGGGGTCGGTCATATCATATTTATCATATGGATAGGGAGTGCACTAAGTGAGTTTGGCGTTTACAAATTTCTTCATCTCGTATTGGAGATTGAGAGATGATGATCATCTTAGATCAAAAAGGATAGTTTGAGGGAATAGTCTCAGAGTAACATACATCCCTACTATTCCGCATACAGTCAAGGATAGTAGGCTATTTAGATACTAGGTCGTAAATGGAAATGGAAATGGAAATTATGTGCGTTGTAATGATAATCTGTTCATCGTTGATCGGTTGGCGGTTGTGAATATGATGTGTGTTTGGGGTGGAGTTGAGGGGAATGGATATTGGTCTTTGATATTTTATGATATTCTGTTCTACAAAATTTGGATTTTTGGATTTTTGGGGGCCGTATGAAGCTTCTTTTCCTGAGACTTTGAGGTATGGATACCTACCTGGGTGTGATGAGATTGGCCTGTGTTTTTCAGATAGAGGAATCTTCCGATCTTTTGAGATAGCATCTCGAATACGGGGGTCTTGTGGGCGGCGTGGAAGATGTGGTGGATAGGTTAGATGGGATGTGTATGTGTATGTGTATGTATGTCCAGTTTAGTTTAAGTGTCAGAATATTCTCACCTTGGCTTTTCTTTTCTAGTCATTTGATTTTTTGTATGTATGTATATCCAATCCGAACACAAAATTTCCGTCCGCAAATTCTATCCAGCGATCACGAATCAAATAAACTCCATATTCGAACACCCTCCAGTGATCTCGAGCAGTTCTTTAACCTTTCCGTCTCTGCACGGTATTACTGTATTCTTGCCAGAAATCGGTACATAAAGATGAGTAGAACATGCAAGCTTTGATCTACCCTCAAAATATACCTGAACATTCCCCGACCGAATTGCGATATACGAATTTTTCATCCTGCAAGCCCGTTGTAAAAGTAACTTTTCACTATCTTTCTGCTTCATCCTCTGAGGAGCCGGATACTATAAAGTAAGTACTTCGATATTTCGTCTCTTTCCTCTACCCTACCATCTACTCTATCGCTAATAGATGGCGATTCAATACTCGCCCCTGAATAGCTTGCCTAAGCGATTTAGGGTGTTATGTCGCAGGTTGATGTGATAAAAGTAGCTGGTGGATAATCATCGTGTTCTTGTTACTTTGTAGAAATGGAGTCATGAGAGGTGTGGTGATGGGGTGGTTTTCTACTCTTGCTTTAAGCTCGTGTGATTTTAGAATAGTCCGGTTCGTTATTGTTCCTGGAAAGGGCGAGTCTCAACTCTATGGAAAGATGAAAATTGCTTGATTGGAAACTGTGTTGGGGGGAGGGGCTCAATCAAGAAATATTTTCCCGATTTAGGTAACGGTACGGAGAGTGACATGTTACTCTCTCTCTTGTGCACATTAGACAGCAACTGTGAGTCATTTCAAAATGACTCAAATAGTCTATAATGAAAATGTTATTGATTCTGAACTGTTCCATAAAAATCGAACCAATCCAGCCATTCCATACCCGTCGTATCACCTAGCTGTAAGTTCGTTGGATTAATCCCAAGAGTCACTTCTTCATTATCGAATAATTCCACAATCTGATGATCTGACATAGTAGAGAATTGAAGCGGCTCGATGAATCCAGGTTCTAATCTTGGTTCCTGCGCCTCCTGGACAGTATCACGTCCTACTTGTTCACAATCGAGAACAGATAGACCAGATGGAGCAGTTCTTCGCCATGCTGCGGAATTCCGAATTATTTCTTTCAAGTGTCTACCGTATAAAGCCGAACTCCCTTTTCTATGGGGCGTGATATTTCCTATCCTCTCTAAAACATCTGCAGTTTCCTCGATCAAAACGTTGATGCTTTCTCTTAGACCGGAATTCTTGTTCGCAGTCATCGTGGACAAGTGAAGTGCAAAACATGCTGAAAATGATACCATAATTGCTGTATTATTGGGCATGGACTTGAGAAGAGGTTCTCCCTGAACAGCAGCTCTCATAACATTTAAGGCAGATGACAGACCAGCAGAACGAAAGTAAGAAGAGACAGCCGAAAATTGGGTAGGGTAATTAAGGACATTACTGTATATAGCAAGACGGGTGTGAGAAACGAGGATTTCTACATAAGGAGGTAGGCGGAGGTCTTTGTTTCTCCCTATCTCTGGGGTCCAGGTTGAATACCAGTGATCGAAAAAGCCATCGATTGTTTGTCGAAGAGTCTGAGCAATATCATGGCCTTCCAATACTGTGGATGCAGTCTTATCGCAGGTATCTTTTATGCAAGTGATTATTTTAGCCTATCATATCATTAGTTTTTGTAAGATCTTCTCAAAAATAACATACAATATCTCGCCGTAAAACAGATGAAGCTACAATTGATCCATCCCACGTATCAGCGAGATTAGAATTATGCCAAGCATCACAAGTTGCAATGAAGTGAGATATTTGAACGGTAAAAGCTCTTCCTCGTGCTAAGCATACGCTGTGGAAAAGTTTTAGCTTACTTGAATGGTACTTCGAAGCTGGAAACTTACCCTCTATCAAGATTAAATAAAGCAAGCCATACTCTTTCACGCCGGCGAATTAGTTTCTGACCCCATCGCGTCACAGGGTCGACTTCAATAAAACCGTCCATATCGAGAGCTTTCCTTGCAGTCATGCAGTCTGACTTTGGAATGGTGATTTGAAGATTGATTGTATTCTGGACGATGATCTTATTTAGAGATACATCGAGGGCTATAGAGTGGGCCATTGCCATGTAAGAACAAGTCTCATCATCAGCCCAATGCTCTTCTGGTAACATCCATGGAATATTGACCATGAATGCGAGAACAATTTCTGGTGATCTATACCTCTTTGATGTCACATAGTGAGCAAGGTGTTTGCTGTGCTTGGAAAGACGCTTCGATAGCGCCTCTCCTGAAGGAATGAAAAGTGCAGATGCAGCTAACATTGAAGTCATGAGGAACGCAGATCTTGAGCGCACAAATTCTGCCGTATGAACAGAAGGATCAAGGCCCCATCTTGTATGTGATAGATTTGCATAGAAACTGTTGAACTTATCAGTAACATTGATATATCCATTGGAGCAAATTCAAGAAGTTCCAATAGTTCGAATGAGCAAACTTGATATGAATTGAGAGTTTTCAATGTTTAGAACGCTGTTTGGATTCGATACTTCAAATCGATTGAGTATTCTGACTGAAGTGTGTTCTAACCGATTTCAAGAACCACGCATTTCTCACCCATGAACTGCTGTTCGGACTATTGAAACCCCCAGTACCATATCGGGGCGACTCACTATTTTATAAGCAGAGTCACTTCCTCATGAGTCACCAAACCAATATCGATAGGATCGATATCACTTCCAACGTCAAGCCGTGGTTGAAAGGGTCCAAAGAATCGACGAAGCTCTCCTGTTTCTACTAACGGAGGAGGCATATGTAGTTGCTTGGTTGCAGTATCTGCAAGATCTGATGCCCGAGCCAGGAGCTGCAGTGGATTCTCGGCATCATCCAAAGCAACATTTCCCATCTCGATTTGAGCAATTGACTCGTGAGCCCTGGATAAAGATATATCTGCAGCTTCTGGTAACCCACTATTCATGTCATCTCGAGGGCCTGGTTGCTCCACAAGCTGCGTGGAACTCTTGTCAGTACTTCCAGAAACCAGATTCTCAGCCTCGGAGAGAAGAAACTGTAGACGTCGTTGTTCTTCCTGGGGTACATTGTCATTCCTGGAGTTTTTCATGGCCTGTTCAAGCTGATGGACAGCTTTATCTAATCCACTCCGTTTGCTGAATTGAGGTGAGAAGAAGTTTAACAAATTGGAAATGTGTGGCTAAGCCTTACTTCTTGATTCCTTTTCGTCTTCCAACATGATAATCTGGTACCAGACATTCCGTATTGTTCTGACGACATCTTTGGCAATTGATATTAGGAGGTTCACGAACACAACGAGTCTTGGTACGTCGACAGCTTAAGCATGCGGCTTGCTTGTGAGGCCTTTTAGAAGTAACATTATCACCATGTAGATTAGGTGTTTCCTGTACCTGCACATTCCAATCATTCATTTCAATTACGATTTCTGAGGCAAACTGCTGCGGAGGCTGTGGTAGTGACGAAAATCATCGGTATGCCCAAACAGTACGCCTGACGAAATTATACGTCAACCTAGCCGAGCCTGGTTGATCGGTTACAGAGCATTCAAATTTATGATTCAGATGCGATCTGATAGTCAAGTCTAGCACACCGTTTGATTTCCAAACAACAGCTCGGAAATTGAGTTTGATATCAAGTGTGATAATATGTAATCTTACAAAGTTCATTGTGCTGAAAAATAATCATCGATGTGCTTCAGAATTTATAGGTGATCATGTCGTACGTTACCAAAGATCGGCGATAATTCTAGTACCGAAAGCTTCACTTCGGCTCTTGATTTATCCCCTTCTCCCGTACGTACCTCATCAAACTGATCTCATGGAGCAATTCATTTTCCTTCTCAAACAATTCTCATCGCTGCCATTATGTCGAAACTGTCACCCTCCTTGAAAGCTCTCATAAGTGCACCTTATGCTCGCCCAGGCTATGCACCTGCACCCAGGAATATCCGCTCCGTTTTTCAAAAGATTAAAGAGGAGGCTTCCGCGAACAGTGTTGGACTGCCATCATGGCTAACGATCTCGGTACATCGATTCCCACCAACCGTCGAAGAATGAACATGGGAAACTGATATCTTTCAATGGCAGACTGCTGCGACTATGACGATGAATTCTCCCGATTCAATGCTGGAGCTCTTTCGAGTTGCGACGAAGGACAAGGATCTTGCGCATGCAGTGAAAACGGTGGAGCAGATGAGGGAAGTAGGTTTGAAATGTATAGGTTTCAATGGGGTGAGATGGCTTTATTATATACTTGGTTGCTACAACAGATCCTAACAATACACCTCAGATTCCTAGAACAATCAATGTTTTAGGTCAGTTCCGCGCAAATCTACCAGATGAGATCATGAATTCGTTGAACAAAACACCGTCTCGGTAAGCGCATTTGACACCCGACGGACCCCTCGAATATCTGCTAATATACCACCAACTCACAGTGAATTAACAACCACAAATGTTGATGAAGCCAAAGCCCGAGGCCGTGGACTATGGGATTCTATCTATCGACCCTTTGAAACAAAACTGCTCCATAAACTTGCGGAATCGCATCCCGATCTTCCAGTCTATATCCTGAATTCCTATTCTAGTCTCTTCACCGATCCTTCTGTCTCTTCACGACCGGTAAAGATTGGGAGAGTTCTCACAAGTCTGATCGGGATAACATGTTTAAGAGCACAAACGGGAGTGGGTCCACAGGTCACCAGTCACGTATTTGGTTTACGAAAGGCGTTTGAGGACGGTACATATGAAGCTGCAGGCGAAGAACCTGTAGAGGGAGGAGAATGGTTAGCTGGCGAGGAAGGAAATGCTTGGATTCTTAATACAGTAGATAAGATTGTGGAGGCTATTGGTGGAGAGAGTGGAGGAACTACATTTGCCCCTGGTATTAAGGCAAAATTGTAGTAGATATGCTAGTGCATTTTTGTATATGATGTGAAGTATAAATATGCGAGGGTTTAAGGCTATATTGAGTAATGATCTAGTGTTAATCAGTGATTTTGAAAGCGTCCGCATGTTTGATGAACTTTGTTGGTCTTATCCTGTTAAAACCGCAATGTTACCTCTGTTTGAATATCGCTGGGTAAGTTTCTCCCAATAGTGCCATTTTTCTTTACCCTCCTGTCCCAGATTTCCAATTTGAGCACCAAGCCTTACTTGAAGCAAATATAGCAACGATTGTTGACTTTTGGAAAAGGGTTCAGTCATCGTGCGTCACTCTGGCATGCTTCAGATGAATCAGGAAGAATCAGAAAGTAGTAAAGTTTTTGTTCACCACCTGTGCTTCACAATGTCCCCGGAGTCCCTTTCTTCAAAAGCGACGGAATCAGGTCTGTAAAGCAAGACGACGCTGTCGAAGGCTCCCGAAATAACATTTATTGCAAATACATCAAATCTGATTGCGATCTTACTGCAGAAATCTCGCACACCTTCTATCATGAATAACCGCGGAGGATTGAATTCAACGCGCAATTTACAATCCGTCTTTCACACCCTCATCACGCCTCCATTTAATCTCAATCCTATCCAGCCATCCACTCATCTACCCCTTTATCTAACCCGAACCAAGCCCCTAAACCTAACTGTAGCCCTCAATCTACCTTCTCGTTCTCAAAGCCCCCTAACCACTACTCACACCACTACATGTAATTCCTATCCTGTAGTATTCCCATCTCATTTTCAACTTTTAAATCTCAACTCCCAACTATCAATTATCAAAAAAATGAAGTCCTTTTACTCCAGCTCCGAAAGAAAAAAGAGGTAAGAACATCAGTAGATTAACACCTTCACAACTAGATATTGATTGCATTGTGATGAACACTTGTTTTCCAAGGAATAGATTGGTCACATAAGTGACCAGAGCGAGAAGCTTATATACTTTACCAGCTCATAGTAGAGACGAAACTGATCATTATGTAGCACGAAGAATCATAGATTATTAGTTAAATATTATTATACATTGTGCACACCTCTTGTACGCGCTCTCACCTATCCTCATTAGCTATCTAAAAATCGATGCAATTACCAAGCCCCTCCTTCATGCTCTTTGCCTGTACCTTTTTACCCATTACCCTAATAGATACCTGGAATGATTCGGTATCTGACAATCTCCTTGTACCTCTTCCAGTCCTCGCCGTACTTTCTCTCACATTTCTCCTCATCTCTCATTTCTCTATGCACCAACAAGACTCCAAAGTAAATCACATAGAAATATGTAATGATCATACCCCAGCCTCTAGCTGCACCTTGCGTGGCTTCTGTATGTACTGCTGGTCCACTGTACACGAAAGATCCATCTGCGAGGGATTGACCTGATGTTGGGGCTACCGAGCTGTGATTAATTAAATAACCAGCTATACCAGTAGGAAGACAATAAGACCAAGCCATGATCCAATCACCGGCATAGTTGATATGACGAGCTACACCCCACCAGCCGGAAATGAGAAGCTTGGAGCCAGATTTCGTCTCGAGGTACTTAAGATGTGCGACACGGGGATCTGTCGGGTCAGTTCTAAAGCGGTTCTTCTCGTTGTTAGCGCCACGGAAGATGTAATATCCTGTAGCTAGAACTGCGAGGACGCCGCTGGTGCCAAAGACGCCGAGGGAAAGTGGGTAAACGGCAAGGTAACGAGCTTGAAGAGAATAGATGAATGGAACCCAGACTAAGTCCCCAAATGACAACATGAGTCCAAAGCCATCCGTGGTAATGTCCATGGTGGTGAGGATAGCATTTTCCATCCAGTATGAATCAAGCACATAGAGTGTTTGAAATGCTGTGATTAAGACGATACTGTCGGTGACGTATCCGTAAGTCTTGTATTGGTGAGCAACAAATGCATAATCCATCAAAAGCCACCCCATGAGACCAGGTCGTAGCTCACAGAATTCTTTGATGTCAATTTCGCCAAGTAGTGGGAGAGTCACTCTTGGGTTGAGTTCTCGTCCAATAAACCAATCATATAGCATATTTCCAGAATGGCCACCAGCAGCCAACTCGCGCAGTTCAGAGTTGCCAGGCTTAACACTGAAACTGCGGATGTAGACGAAAGTTGCGAGGCCGTAGGAGATGATGATGTTCGCTGTAAGTATTTGTAGGTAATTGTCGTAAATGAAAGTCCAGACTGGGAAGTCTGCTCCTTGGGCGATAGTTCCTGCAGCGCACATAGCAAATGTAAACATTGTAGAAGACCAAGCTGCGCAATTCGTTAGCTAACGCTATATCATTCATTTAGTTGTGCATGTACATACTATTGAATTTGTACTTGAGCTTTCCACCACTTGCGAGCTCGACACCTAACTTCTCTTCACCTGGCAAAATTCTGTGTAAAACCATGCTCAGAAAGTAGTAGCCTACTACTTTGAGAAATACATCCCAACTTAACAAGCCCGCAAGTCCATTTGCGGGCCACCCAACCTCTTGTTTAAGATTGTTGATTGTAAGCGTCGAAGGAGAGAGCGTAGAAGGAACTGGACAACCGGAAATGTCATTGCAGAGAAAGGTCGTCGCGTAGCAAAGAAGGGGTAATCCGAAAGATATACCAAAAGCTCCTAATCTGCAAGACAATCAGTACATATCGATGAGTCTGCAGTTGAAGCGAGATACTTACGGTCCACCAAACTCATATCCATGAGGCTCAGCTGCTTTAGAGACCGTGGCCTTCTTGGGAGCCATGTTGAAGAAGTTGTGAAGCTTTTCAATCAGGATATGCTGATTGAGAAGTTTCTGAAATGTGAATTATCAAAGTATTTACTAGTTACACTCAGTGAAGTTTGAGGAGTAAAATGTTGAAGATATATCTTGGACAACTTAAATCGTCATATAAGAGCCAAAAGAGGCACCGCAGAATATAAATTATCGTGTCATTCGGATCTGAAGATTCCGTTCAGAATAATTGATCCTTGTCTCGCGTTGATGTTGCATTGATGATCGAAGAAGAGCTGTTTTGGGAAAGATGGAGATTGGAACGGGCCCAAGCTTCTTTCTCCGGAGGCAAAATAGGAATCCGAGATAGCGTCATGAGGAGAGGGTGAAGCCTGGGATGAAAGATTGAGTAAAGGTTGGAGTGAAGCCTGGGATGAAAGATTGAGTAAAGGCTTTGAGTGATACTACTACCAGTATACTCCATGTAAATTACCATGGAACGTTCATACCCTACAATAGACCCCTTCATTGTAAAGAAGCGGGAGTCACTCATTTACGATGTCACGCACTACCTAGGTATATCTACACTGCAGATATCACATCTCAACATCTCAGCATCTTGGGGACTAGGGTGTTTTCAGAGACCGTCATCTGTAGGTATAGTAGTATACGTCTAATCCATTCTCCTTGGAGGATTTGCTGGGAATGGAGCAGTATTGTCAAACTCAATATTACCTACCTGTCTACCTGCCTACTATGCGTTGCTAATTCGGAACTCTCTATCGAATGAGATGTCAAAATTACCTAGTCCCATCCCAATCAACTTCAACCGATGGTGATGCCGTACCCTACGTGAATTGACTACGAAGTAGGTAGGTATATTTCGACAAAGATCTAGAATTTGAATAGCTCGACTGTACAAGCTGCCTGGTCCCGCTGCTGCTAACATCCAGAGAGTTGTCATAGGCTGAAGACTGGTGAACACATGGAGCTTGCTTTATTGAAATATGAGGAGTGTCATGTGATGTTGAAGTTTAGCGCGTTTTATATCCTTGTTTACTTTTAAGGCTTGCCCGAAGGTCAACAATCCCCCCAGACCTTTCAACTAGCGTTTTCGATTTCATCATTCAAATCTGGGAATTCCAACTACCTACATACTTGATACAATTCATTCGTATCATTGATAAGGGTGAATTTGATACTCTTCTGAGCCCCTTATTATTTCCAACTCATAGTAAATAAATTTGTTGGATATACCATCGATTGATATTCAATCTATTTTGTTGCGCTCTTCATTATGGCGTCTCCTCCGCGTCGTCGTTCTTCTCGACTTCGTACTCCAGCTAAGGTATGTATAGCTTTCCTATTGTCATGGTAACAAGTGTTGGGACTATGTAGCAGGTACTTATCACTTATATTCTAGACATTACAAAATACAATTCCCAAACTCACATCTCTTGCCGAAGATGATGAGGGTCCTGCCTATCCTTCCCTCCCGAACCTTTCGTCTCCCGTTCAAGCGCCCCAAACACCAGCCACTTCCGGTCGCATTGTCCCACCTCGCGAGGAAATGCATCCATCCATGACACATAAATCCACCACACAAAAACCCGACTCGGGACTTCGTCATGGCTTTGTTGATATCAATGCCAAGGGTGACGACCAACCCTCTGGTATTCAACAAAAGACCCCCTCAAAGATTGGTATCAGCTCTCCAACCTTCGATTTTAGATTCGCTCGTCCTGCACCTGTTCTTGGCCCCGAAGCTCAACGTATGATGGATGAACTACGTGAAGAGGCCCTCCGTATCAAAGCCAAACTTGCTGCGGAGCGAGAGATTGAACAAAGAAACAATCCAGAGGGAAGCCAAACGGGAAGTCGAAGAATTGCGCAGGCGAAGGGCAAAGTCAGTAGATACAGTGATGTTCACATGGCAGAGTAAGTTTTGTTTGAAAGCTTTAGAATATTTGAAGGCGATTCGATCTATGAAAGCAATTAAATATTTGAAGAGCCATGGCCCTAACTTCACACAGGTTCAAAAAGATGGACAGTATCGCCAATCATCCATCATCTTTCCGAGCTCAACCAGGCAGAGTTACCCCTACTGCAAAAGCTCTTAAGCGCACACAATCGAAGGCTAAGCTAGGTGACAGAGATGCCACTCTTAGCGAAGATTCTTCCCGAGATGCCGAGAGTGAAAGACTCGAAAATACTGCACCTGCTAAGCGTGCTCGTCAACACATGACGGATGATACTTCCACTCAACGACCAATATCTCGTGGCAAGACTGAAGTCACGGCAATGCCTTCTACTCCCCGTCACAAGATCTCCAGCATTCCTGCACATTTGACAACACCCACGCAATCATCTTTGGCTCGTGCCCAAAGTGTAAAGCATTCTTCAACTCAGATACCTAGCTTGTCAAGATTGCCATCAAAAGCAAATTTGCAAAGCACCCCTCGCGGTATGTTAAAGTCTGCTACAATGAACAATATTGCTGGATCAATGACGGCACCAAGTAAATCCATGCTCCGAACCCCAAGCAGATTCGACCGTATGAAGTCTATCTTGAAGCATACAAGCTCCAGCTTCAGCTCGAAAAAAGCAGAAAAGGCGCCGGTTATTCCTTCAATTGCTAAGAGTCCAAGCAAGCTAAACCTTGCGAGAGACCTACCCTTTGTTCCCACGACACCTATTGGGGTCGGCCGTTCTAAGAGTATGAAGCATGTTGGATTCACGCCAGAGACAAAAAAGCACAGTGAAGCTAAGCACAACGAAACTATTGTTCCACAATCTCCATCTCCAGTAAAGTCCGGCATTCCTCGCTCAACATCGAAGTCCAACATGAAAATTATTTCCTCAATTGCTCCCCGCAAACCTGTATCCCAACAAGGACCCACTGATGGACAGGCAAAAGATACTGAAACATCGGAAACTAAAGTAGTAGAGTACCCTTCCCTCGCTGGAGTTAGACCCCTTCCAGAACCACCTCGTCAAGCTCCTCCTCCACATCTTCCTCCTTCAGTTCCCGGTACCTTTACTTTCCGCAGTGACCATACCATCAGCTTCGGTACTTCTCCAAAGGGATTTGGCCCATCTCCTAATCAAGCTACTGTCCGCCAAGTCCGTCGAAGTATATTCCCTGATGCTATGCCTGGTAGTTTTCCTGATGGCAACAAGGAGAACACCAACCCCCCTGTTCGTGAATCGAGCAAAAAATCAACTAACCTTTCAGTTATGCCAACTGTTCCCCATGGGATGTCGAACAAGAAGCGTAGGAGAGTTGAGTCCGATGGCGAAGAGGAAACACGATCACCAAAGAAGCAAAAGGCTCCAGAGGGCGCTATGCTAATGGCTCCAAGACTTCAATCTGGAAAGAACGTTGTTGCCTCTTCGAATGCCACCCCAAGCCCTGCCAAAAAGAGAGGTCTGACTTTGAGTCGACTCAACATGCTTGCACGACCAAAGAGCCGAAAGTGATCAATTTGACGATTTCCAATCGATGATAGTTCTCTATCATCGATTAGAGAAGCTTAATTAATGGCAATTGCCCATTCATTCTTGTTTATACATTCATACGACTCTTGTATGTTCAGGATTTGTTCCTAATAGGATTGGAGTACATGGCTGGCGTCAACCTGGAAATATCGCATATTCTTGCATCGCAAATTGGGGGATATTTTTCATAGTGGCTGGATCTGCCTGGAATTACTACATTAGGAGCTGTTATTATGTTATTCTTTCTCGGTAACGGAGTTGCAAGAGATCCTGATTCATGTTTGTGTAGTTAAGTCAAAACTCCAGGTTGCTCTTTCTTAATTAATGATAAATGAATAAAAAGTTACTTATTTTTAAATTTCTCTCGTACCTGCCTATTAGGAAAAATGGTAACATGATTCTCCAACGCTGACTTTTGAATCCCTCTCCTGTTCTCTTCTTTTTTAACAATATCAATTATTCCAATATACCAAATATACCTAGCATAGGGGCCGCGCCAATCAGTAGTAACTGAGACACCATGCTGGCACCCTCTTACATTCGTTTACTCTTTTTTATTCTTTGAACTATAACTACGCACTCTCGTTTCATCGTCCAGACTATTCATTCATTCGACTATCAGCCATATGTAATACAACCACTATTAGAATACTGGCAACACCGTTCTCGGCTTTGAATTCACAGTCTTCTTGAACGCACAAATATGACCGGTCGTCAAGGAACCCCTCGCCCACCTACTTCAACATTCATTGAACTCCGTCCTCGCACTCGCCATACGATCTCTGTTCCGCCCCTCTCGCTAGCAAGTACTGTGTCAGATTCTCCGAAAGCGATTGGTGCCCCAGTTGTCACGCCAATAGTTACGCCTCCCATTCCTCATCATACTCATACTTCTCACCCCCATACTCACCCAACACCACCTCGACCACCAACTCCTCCTCAGTTGACCCCAACAATAACCGCCCTCCGTACGATCCAAAAGTCCTCGGATCCATCTTTCGTCTGTACGATATGCTGGTCTCCTCAATATTTACCTTCCACGCCCCGGGTCTTGGGGCGATCATCTAGAATCGTCTGTCATCAATGTTGGAGAGCGGTGTTGGATTTAAGTATCTGCTGGGTTTGTGGGGAATGCATTGTAAGAGGTGATGAGGTAGTTAGTTTGGGATGGTGTTTTTGGCATCGAGGATGTTTTGGGTGTCTGCTTTGTGGGATGAAGTTAAGAGAAAGGGTTTTGAGGGAGTGTGAAAGTGAGTGTGAGAGTGGGAGGGGAAGGTATGGGAATGATGGTGAGCATGGATGTGGAGATCGAAGAAAAGGAACGGAGTTGGATAAAATTCCGCTTTGTGAGTGGTGCGAGACGGAGACGAAGATTCAGGGGTATGGAGAGAAGAAGGTGTTGGAGAGGGGATTGGAAAATGTGACGAAATCTGATGGGGGGCTGACGAGATGTAGATTGGAGAAATTGGATGAGGATAAGGGGTTGGGACGGAATCTGAACCTGAACTTGAATGGAAAAAAAGATGTGGTGGTCGGATTAGATGGGGAGGAAAGGGAGGAAACGGGACCTGCATCATCTTCTGGTATTCCAGCGACAAATACGACGAATAAATCATCGAAATCATCGACGATAAATGAAAGGCAGATCAGGAAAATCATACGGGAATCTTCTACTCCTCAGGTATGTATCCCAGTCCAATTCAGTGTAGTCATGAACACTCATATTAACACCATCAAAAAGGAGGAAGTTGCACTCCTAAGCGACGCCGCCAAAATGGGTGTATCCGAAGACGGAAACCCAGACGACTCCACCCATTCCCACAGCGACACGGAACCCGCCAACTTTGGCCAAGCCGAGCCATCTACTTCATCGTCATCAATTTCCTCTCCCCCATTAGACATCTACGTCTCCATCTACGACCCTGCTGGTCAAGCATTCGTGCCTAGTAAGACTAAGCCGCTTCCAAAATGGATGACGTTGCTCCCAAATAATGTACATCGCGAACGGGAAGAGGCAGAAGGTGATGCTAGTCAGAAGAAATCGCGAGCAGCGGTTTCGAGAGCGAAGCTTCCAGAAGCATATGCGGATGGGGCTTCATCTACTCATTCGGATGATTGCCCGGGAGATCATGGTCCGTTTACATCGTGTCCGACGGAGCAGGGCGTAACGGAGGTTTCTCCTCGGGAACACTCGGAGCAGGTGACGCCTAAAGGTATTTTATTACTGTTCTTCTATTTCGCATTTTATTATGTACTAGAACGATCGATCTTGAAATATCTGACACTCCCAGACCGACTCTCCATCCGAGAACGGGCCAATTTCGCCTCTGAAACTACATCAGATAGTACCCGTCGTCCATCCGCATCAACTCTTTCATCACTCGCCCTACCCAGCCCTCAACAAAAAGCATTCAAAGTCACCCGTCCCCGCTCCGTCTCCATCGAGGAAAAGCTTCCTCGTCCACATCAACATCCAGCATCTGCCTATCGTCGTGCAAATCGCTCCAGCACCATGGAATCCGCCTGCATCAAACCCAACCGTCTAGTCAAATCCATCCAATACCCCGAACACACACCGCGAGACGTTTCAGAAAGACCGCTAACCCCCTATCCCAAAAGCGACAATCCGGATCCCTTTCAAACCCAGCACATTTCCTCATACTCATCCTCTTCTACTCCCCACCAAAATTCCAAAGCCACCCTCCTACACTCCCCCCTGTCAAACTTCATCACACCTCGAAAAGGCTCTTGCTGTGGACTCAGCACCTCCCTCGAAAGCGCATCGGTAGGAGAAATAAGAAAACGCGAACGCGGAGAAGCAAGTTTCGACTCCGTGTTTGAGAGTTTTCCGCGCCCGGAAATCGGGAAGAATAATAGTAATTATGCGTCGAGTCTCTGTCGCAGTCCGAAATTGGGGTTTTTGGAAAAGGGAAATGAGTATTTGGAGTATGTGTCGGGAGTTATTTTGCCGGGGGGAGGGAAAGAGGCGGATGCGGGGAAAGAGGGGGGGAAGGAGGGGATTGTGGAGAAGATTCGGAGGCAGAGGGTTGGGACTGTGAGGTATGTTTTTTTTTTTTTTGTTTTTGTTATTTTTGAAGAAGAAGAAAAAAAAAATCGTTGGGGCTTCAGCGTTTGGGGGAGTTAAGTTCGAGCAGAGAATATTCATAAGATAGTCCTTCAAGTCCATACATCCACACATACTAACACAACCTCTCCACAGTCTCGGCCAAGTAGCCCAAAATGTCAAGGAAGAAAAAGAAAGGAAGCGCGCGGAAACACAAATTCAAATGGAATGGAATTGGCTCGATAATGAATCTAAAAATCACACCCCAAATGCGATTGTGGAACACGAAGCGAGTGCGCAAGGAGAGAGTAGTAGAAGCTCGAGACGGAATAGAGGGGTGAGTGAGGATGAGCTGGGAAAGTTGTCGAGGGATGGAAGTAGAATGGGGGGGAGGAGGCGGAGGGGGACGAGTGGGGAGGAGAGGGGACATGGTAGTAGGGTGGGGAGTAGGATGGGGAGTAGGAATGAGAGGGAGAGAGAAAGGATAGAGAGGGAGAAGATGGAGAGGGATAAATTGGAAAGAGGAGATGTTAAAGGGAAAGCGAAGGAGAAGCTTGTAGAAGAGGAAGAGAGTGGTAAAAAGGTTGAGGATGGTGTTAGTGATGACGTTGACGAGAGTAGGGAACAGTTGAAGAAGGAATTGAAGGGGTTGTTTGGTGAAGAGTGATGTCTCCCGAAAGTTGGAATGAATAAGGAGACATGGAGATTGGGATTGGGCGAGAAATAAATTGTTATGGATGACTATAGATGTGGATAGACTGTGGATAGTGCTACGAGTAGGAAGTTTAACAAGAACCTGAGGAGACCTAGGACAAGATAGATCAAGATAATACATAATCGATTAATATCTAAATCTTTTTGACCGCTAAATACTTTTTAACTCCATGAGCAATATCGTTCGTTTTCTTGTACGAATGCAATTATGGCCCAGTGTATGATGACAGATTCTGTAATACCAGGTATACTTTGAAACTCTGGTAAATTTTTTTTTTTTTAAACATTTAGAGCTCCTTCAAGACCTTCTTTAATTCCACGACAACAGCATCACCAACCTCAACAGTCTTATTCGAGCCACCGATGTCGGCGGTTCGGACTCCATTTTCGATGGTTCTGCGGACAGCTTCTTCGACGGCTTTAGCTTCGACCGGGAGGTTGAGAGAATATTTGAGCATCATGGCAACGGAGAGGATGGTACCGATGGGGTTTACGATACCCTTGCCACTGATGTCTGGGGCGGAGCCTAGAGGAAATTGTTAGATCTGAATATCAAATAATGACGGAAAGGGGCTAAAATAATAAGCGGCGAAGAAAGATAGAAACATACCGTGAATTGGCTCGTAGATACCATTACACCTGCTCTTTCCATCTGGAACACCACTCAAACTTGCACTTGGCAAGAGTCCAATACTACCAGGAATAACACTGGCCTCATCACTGATAATATCTCCAAACAAATTGCTTGTCACTACGATACCGTTTAACTTTCTTGGGTCTTTTACCATCAACATGGCCGCACTATCAATCAAATGATGTCCGATCTTCAATTGTGGAAACTCGGCAGCCATGACGTCGGTGACAGTTTTGCGCCATAACCTCGATGTCGCGAGAACGTTTGCCTTATCCAAACTCCAAACCGGCGCTGGGGGATCTTGCGCAAGGGCAAGATTTGCTGCTAATCTTGTCACACGCTCGATTTCCTCTCTGCTATATGGTTCTGTGTCCCAAGCCTTTCCATCTCCATCGTCCTCCTTTCTCTCTCCGAAGTAAATGCCTCCGGTCAATTCTCGCACAATGCAGAAATCGACGCCTTCGCAGACCTTTTCTTTCAATGGGGAGATCTCGGTCAAGGTAGGTGATGCGAAATTACAAGGTCGGAGGTTTCCATATGTGCCCATTTGTTTGCGGAGAGTAAGGATTCCTTGCTCAGGACGTACTTTTCCGGTTCCCCATTTTGGACCACCGATTGCACCGAGAAGAACGGCATCGGCATTTTTGGCAGCCTCGAGAGCTTCGGTTGTGAGAGGCTCACCGTGAGCATCAATTGAGCACTGTATTGGGGATGAGTTGTAAGCATGAGACTCGGAAGCCAAGGAGCTTGTGAGTGGAGACTTACACCACCTAAGAGATGTTCTTGGAAATTGAACTTTCCAACTGATGGTCTATCGCTTTCTACAACTTTCAAGACTTTGATAGCTTCCGCTACAACCTAATTAGAAGGTTTAATTAATATGTTTCCTTCTCCAATTGTTCCATTTACAGCTTTCAATGGCTGTGCAATACAATTTCCAACCCCATATTCTCTCCACAAACAGGTATCAGAGCAACAAATAAAACAAGCATACCTCAGGACCACAGTGATCACCACCGAAAACCACAATATTGTGAGTTGCCATGTTTTCAATAAGAAGTTTTTTTAATGAACATTCGACGATTATAAGTACAATGAGTATTTAAGAAGAGAGGAATGATTGAATGAATAGTTTTATTTGAGGACGAGAAAATGTTTGGGGAACATGAATGACTTTATTGAATGCCCCGCCCCCACTAAGTCCGGTTTCGGAATGATGCTCCATGCCCGAACTCGGAAAGCAGGACGTCGTCAATATGGGTAGGTGGTGATTGGATGATTTGAAGTAGGGGACGACACGAATATATGTCTCTATATGAAGCTAGAGAAATGGAGTTTGAATCATTCGCAATGGACTTGTTATATGAAGAGCTTTGGAGTTCAAATATATTCGGAAAATCAGATCCTCTTCATCATTCAGACCAATTCAGCATGTAAGTAGGTTGACTACTAGATATGGATGGAAAAACGTCTACGCCATCTATACACGAGCTCGATAAATATCTGGTAGATTAAGGTATATAATATATATGTGTGTGTGCATTTATTTTGTGCTATTGTTAAGTATCCTAAGAATCCTTCCTTAAATAATTGCACTTCTCCATACATGCTGCAATAATCAACCCCAACTCCGCTTTATCCTTTCCTTTTTCCCCTTTCCCCTTCCCCCATTCTTTCCGGTCGTAAATCTTATTCTTGTATTATATCTTGGGAATCATGCATAGTGACTTTGATCTGTTTTGTATATGCTCTGTGAAAGGGGGTATCAGTGTCGACAAAAGAAAATAGGAAAAAAAAAGCGCTGTTGGTAAGTAGGTGTTAAAAACAAGTGGTTTGAAAAATATCCTTCATCTGATGGCTTTTCCTTCGGTGGCAGGAGAAATAAAAGATAAAAAAAACAAGGCTGAAGCTTATGATTATGATTCATCAAGCTCCAAATCTCATAGTTTGATGTTTGAGATATCAATTCGATATCTAATCAACGGAATGATTTGAAAGATTTGTGGGCAAGAGGAGAAGAGGGTAGACCTCTCTTCTCTCTTGCAGACTCTCGCACACGACCGTTCCGCATATTTGGTGTTAAGGCACAAAAGGCACATATGTAAACCTTTGGGAGTGTCCTTCGATCTGGGATATTGACACATTGTCCATGAAGCCAATTCTCACAAGACTCACTTGAAACAAATTAGACAATATGAGATGTAGCAGTAGTAGCAAACTCACCACTGGATCATGAAAGAGTCCCCCTCCGCATTGTTGCAGATACACCGAGTAGTACCGCTCCTCGAGCTGGATGGCGTTGTTCCATCGGGAGAATTGTTAGACGACGAAGTATATTCTGCAAAGCGACCTGGTCTAGGCGTTGTATCGGAGTACAGACGAAGATGTCTTCCATTCTTTGACAATTGTTGATTACTTCGACGCTCCCTGACAACCTTCCGCAAAGCAGAAGCCGCATCTCCAATCTTGGCCTCATCAAGTACTGTCTCTGCCTCACTCATCTCATCGATACTCGTGTGCTGACCCGAGGACCGACTATAGCCGCTTGTACTTGTGCTAGGTCTGCGAAAGTCACTAGAGGAAGTGTCGAATAAATCAAATCTGGGTGGTCTCTGCTGCGGTAGATTGAAAGAGTTGTTTCGACTTGGAATGATGATTGGTTCGTCATCAGTAGAGGAATCATATTCTGACTCATAACCGATGACTTGAGATGATGACCGTCGCAAACTTCTCACCGATTCATCGTCAACAACAACAGTAGCTCGACCATTACTACCAATGGCGAGCTTAACATCTCGTCGAAGTTTTGGTAATGCAGCTGGTGATTCAGGGATAGAAGTAAGATTTGGATGACGCTGCTGTTTCACAGGAGATAAACGTCCCGAGTTGAAGCGTGGTGGTTCTTGTCGAGAATGTTAGCTTGAAATCAGAAAATGAGGATATCTGAACTATACCACTACGACGTTGATCCCTATTACTTTCACTGACACTACGTCGAGGACCAGACCGTGCAGACCCCTTGACTGGTGAGCTAGCAGTTCTCCTATCTATTCGATACCCCATACTACTCTCTCTAAAACTTCTTGATCGACGAAGCTCTTCTTGCTCGCGAGTATATTCTCGAACTTGATGTTGATACGGTTCGATTTGCTCTAGATTTCGAATCGGACTTGTAGTTGGTCTTGATGCTGGCAAGATCATATCTTCTAATCCTCCTTGGGACGTGCTGCCTGTACTAGGGCGACTGTATATTATACCAGGATCGACCACGCCAGGAAAATTCTCCATGGCTATTGAATTCGAGGTTGCTGTCGCACTACTAAAAGCTAACAATGGAAGTGACGTAGGAAGTGCTGACGTTATTGGCAAGGAAGTTTTTGAGGCTATCTGTCTATGTCGTTTGCGGGGTTTAACTTCAGCTTTGGAGTCGCTTGATTTCCGAGGCGATACATTCACTGATTCTTGAAACATCTGGTTGCTTCGTCCCCAATCAATAGAATTGCTTGCCCTATGACCTTGTTGAAAAATACCCGCTGAATCAGTTGAGAAATCCAAATCCATACTATCCATACTAGTATCCCATATTGCTTTATTACTTGCAAAGAATGGGGTTGATGCCGGTACAGTCATTGGATAACCGAATGGATCCATGGCTGTTGAGGATTGCGCCATTAATTGAGGATGGTGATTGTTCGAGTCAGAAGATTCAAAGCCATTACCTTGAACAGGAGCATTATTCGACACATTAAATATTTTTGGGGCTAATTTCCTAGTACCTTTTCCAATAGAATGGGGAGGTGTAGCAGTTTGGCCACTGAAAGGATCATCCAACTTTTTCTTTGACTTTTGGGGGGTCTTGGAAACATCACTAAATCGTGCTCTGGAAGCAGGTTGCGGGGCAGTAGCAGCAGATACATGTTTGTTGGGGGATGTGGTATGGGCTATTGCAAAACCAGAGTTTGGTGACAATTGATGCATATGCATTCCCATATCTGTCATCATATCTCCCTCGACATTATAATGTCCATTGTGAGCCAGGGATGACAGTGCTTGAGCTGTTGAAGTATCAACAAACGGCCGTTGCCCATTGACGAGACGCCCAGGTGTTGCGTTGAACATAGAATAATCTTCTGCAAATTGTGGGGTCCATCCTCCCTGGCTCCCTTCATAACTTGCTTGCTGCTCCCAACTCATTGCAACTCCTCCCTTCCGCCCTTTCGAAATGGGGTTTGAGAATCAAGTCTGGCCAGCTTCCTTCTGTACTGCATACATTCAGACCCCAGTGTTTCAATCCTTTTGTTGATTCGACTTCTGATCCA